CGAGAATAAAAGGTCTACATATCAAACTTGAAGGCTCCTTGACACGAGCATAAAAGGTCTACAAATTCGAATGCTCCTTGATACGAGCATAAAACGTATATATATCAAGATATCCTTGACACGAGCATAAAATGTCTTCATATCAAGATCTCCTTGACACGAGAATAAAAGGTCTACATATCAAACTTGAAGGCTCCTTGACACGAGTATAAAATGTCTACATATCAAGATCTCTTTGACACAAATATAAAATGTCTACATATCAAGATCTCCTTGACACGAGAATAAACGGTCTACATGTAAAATTTGAAGGCTCCTTGACACGAGGATAAAATGTCTACAAATTTGAAGGCTCCTTGACACGAGCATAAAATGTCTACAAAATTGAAGACTCCTTGATACGAGTATAAACTATCTGCAAATCAAGTCAAATGAAGAACTCCTTGATACGAGTTTAAACTATCTACAAACTCAAGTTGAAGAACTACTGGATAAGAGTTTAAACTATCTACATGTTCAAACCAAATTCCAAATTTTGAGACTCATTCACTACCAAGATATTTTGTCCGTGAACAAGTCTCAAGGGGGCATTTGTAGACATCGAAATTATAATATTTTATTAATTAATGTCTTTATTTATTTGAGGACATAAATCCAAGATAAATAAGATATTTAATTAATAAATTATTTATTTCTTGCCCACCAAGTCAAATCTTAGGATAAAGAAAGAGATTATATCAAATCTTAGGAGAAGGAAAGAGATTATGTCAAATCATGAAGGACCAATAAAATTGAAGTCTTCTTCTCCAAGACCTCTCTCTTCTACACCTATAAATAGGGCTCTCCTTAATGCCACAAAACACACCTCAGACACCTCAAACACCTCAAAAATATCAAAAACGTCTCAAATATTAAAGTCTCAAATTCAAGAGTTCTCAAGAACCCTCTTGAAGATTTGAAGAAGTTCTTGAAGAACCGCGCGAATTCAATTCAATGAAAAAGAAGGCCAAGAAGAAGAAAAAGAGGCGGCGGGTCTTCCTCAAGAAGTAAAGAGACGACTTTCACGCTTCTCAAGTCAATCCAAGAATATCAACAACGTTCAAGCGACATTCAAGCCGCGTTCGTTGAGAAGTTCAACCAACATAGCGTTTGATCCGGGAAAAAGCTATCAAGCCTCCGAATCAACGTTATTCAAGTCAGAGTCCCTCTTTCAAGAAGATCGAAGAATCAAGTCTTCCAAGAAGTGATATTCAATCAAGTCAAGGCCTAACATTTAATACGGGAATAAGTCATTCGACCCCTAAATTAATGTTAGAGAAATTCAAGACCAAATCCGAAGGAGATTCATTCATTCAAATCCATCTTTGAAGGTCTCAATCCCAAATTTATGAAGAGAAGAATCAGAGGAGATAAATAGAGATTTTACCCGCAATATCATTTGATCGAAATTTAATCAAGTTGTACAAAAGTTTTATGTCTTCCATAAAATTTGTTGTTACAATGATATATGTAATAACTTTTTTTTTCATTGTATGCTAATATATAATATTGATTAATTGCATGTTATATCTATAATTATATATAACTTTTTACGTCATATGCTGATTACATGTGCGTTGTTCCGAATTGACAAATTCATAGGTATAAAATGTCGTTACATTGAAATAAGGTTGGCAAATTCATAAGGTATAAAATATATTTGATTTTTTTTTCACAAAAATATATTTGATTAGTTAATTTTAACACAAAAATATATTTGATTTTTTTATTTTTTTTTGTTCCAACAAACAAATCTCGAACACGATTATTTGCGGCAAAAGTTTATCAACGACACGAATATTTCATTTTATCTTCTTTGCTCCAAATATTTCATTTTATTAACAATCAATTTTAGTATGAACATTTTTTTTTTTAAATGTTGGGTAAAGTAGGGGTAACAGTTTGTAGTTGTACCGGGTGAAAAGGGGAAAAAGCCCATACCTATTGCTTTCCATCAAAAGGTGCACGTGTATTGTCTTATTATGCATGAAAAGAATAAAAATAAAAAACAATATTGCACAACTCATAGGAACATTTTTTCTTCACATGCCAAAACAGTGCCCTTTTTTTTATTCATCACATGTCAATTCCACTGAATTTTTTTTATCTGCAGTTGTCCCGATCTTGCCAGAAGAATTTGTGAATCTTGTAAAAGCAACCCCAACAAGTTGTGATTTTTTGGAAACAGACAACTGGAAAAATCAATTATGCCTAACTTTAATATAAATATTACTTTATATATATTGTATATATTCATGTTGGAAATATGCAAAAAAAAAAATCGTAGTAGTCTTTATAATCAGAAGATAATGTTATAATAACAATTATTATATATAATGTCCCAACAAAGTTATATTTATATGAATTTTAAAAACTTTAAAACCTGATTGCAATTATTTATTAACAATTAATTTATAAATTACTGTTATATTTGTGCAATATAACTATATTTGTAATTTTATAATAATCTACTTTTATAGTTACTTCAATTTTCTTTTTCTTTTTTAGTTTAGAATTAATGAAAAAACATGTAATTAGTAAAAATTATAATTAACTATAAAATCAAATTTACCAAAAATATATATAAAGATCATACGCGTCGACTTGGAGGGGAAGGTCATAAGCGTCACACTGTAAATTCAATTTTCGACGGAATAAAAAAGACAAATACGACGTAATTTATAATTTTTTTTTTTAAAAAAAAGTTTTACTTATTTCATAATTATTGCTCACATTATTATTCGTGACATTATAATTTTTTTCTGTAACTTTATATTATCATTTAATACATTGATTCTGACTCTTCACCAGGTCCAGATGGTTTCTCTTCGAAGTTCTGTTATTCTTAGGATGATATTCGGAAATATGAAATAGGTATATATAAATAATAGAAAGGCCTACAAAATTTAAAAAAAAAAAGTTTTGTTCATAACATAAGTATAGTTAACATTTATTTCATAAGTATAGTTAAAACTTATTTGAAAAGATTGTCGAATACAAATACAATCTTTATATTTACATATCCACAAAAATTTTGAAAAATTTTTTGTTGTTTAATTTAAATGCACCTCATTTTCCATTATGGTTGTGTACATTGTAATCCATAATATATTTCACAATTATATATAAAGATGAAGCATGAATAGATAGAAATAAACACCGATTTGGTCTCTTTGGTTTTCATTAATACAAGTGCACACTCAACAGGTTTCATCAATACATACGATATTTTTATCTTCGGTTCGCCCATAGCGCTTGGGCTATCGAGTCACGCAACACACAATGCTCACCAGCGCCGACGTTGGAGTTATTACTCGACATAAAAGGAAAAGTCCGATCAGTTGGATCATGTCGTCGTACGTATTCTGGGTTGCTGAATTCAGGCGGCATGTTTTCGAGCGGTTCATGCATCCAAATAAAATTGTGTAGGACACAACATGCTATTACTATGTCGGTTTGGGAGTGAACTTTGTAGTTTGACATCAACCCCTTTATCATGGAAACTTCCCTTTTAGCAAACCAAAGTTGCGTTCGATAACATTACGGATAGTGGCATGTCGTCTAATTAACAACTCACGAGCATTGTCGGGCAATTGGTTAGACACCAACCACTCCGGAAGATGATATATTTCACCACGATATGGTGTCATGAAACCCAGAATGTGTGCATATCCGGAGTCCACCACGTAGAATTTACCTGCATGAACATACTTTTTTTACTTAAAGGAATGAAGTTGTTGTAAATAAATTTGAACTTGTATTTACTTTAACTACATTATAACATTTTAATAGTGTCATGGTCAATTTACCGGGTGGTGGATAGGAGAAATTATATCTGGGGTCCGACAATTTCTGATTGAAAATGCGTGCATCGTTTGCGCTGCCTTCCCAACCCGCCAGAACAAAAGTAGACTTGAGGTCAAAATCGCACGCCAACATCACATTTTGCGCTAAATACCCTTTCCTACATCTGTAGGAACCCTGTTGTCCTTCTGGCACCCACGCAGGTATAATAGTCCCGTCAATTGCGCCAATGCAGTCCTATGAATAGCATATGAAATTTCAATAATAGAGGTACTTTTGTTCAAATTAACGGTGTAGAACACATTAAAAAATAAAAAAAGTGTTGAATTTACCTTGGAGTAGGGACATAAATTCCAGTTATTTCTTATCCACGGTGCAACACGGTTGAAGTCTGGGAGACGAATGTAGTTGGGGGCGAGATAACAAAAAGCATTGATGACTTTGTGACAATGACGACTGATTGTCTCTCATGATTTTCTGAATGTTTCAGCGGCAAATCGTTGCCTTTGATGCCCTTTTATTGTATGCAGAAAAATGGCTACGCTTTCTTCAATGCCTGTTTTTTTGTCTTTTTTATGGGTGGAATCCAGCCCTTTTGATTTCGTCACAAAGTATGCTGAAATGACATTGATTTATGCCTATTGCATCTTTAAATCGGTGAGAATTTCCAGCTAACAATTCATTTACCCAGTCCAAACCCGAGTACGTGGATTCTCGGTTGGGGATTCTTCTTAATGGGGGAAATGCGGACGACGAACTCTCGTAAATGTTTACAAGTTGTTGAAATTGGGCCCCCATCATTAACGAAGTTTCCAACGGGTCATAGTCTTCCACCATCTCGAATTCGCTGTCAATGTCCTCAGGCAAATCATCAATCTTCTATTCATATGTGTCACTATCATCTACATAAGACATCCTACAAATAAATATAATAGTGGCTAAAAACACATACAAATGTTCACAAACAAATTGTCACATAATCATGCAGAAAAATTTCAAACATAGTAGCTTGGAAACAAAGTTCAAACAGAGTAGAGTTGAAGACAAATATAAAAAACAGACAAGTCCAACAAGAAATGAAGATAATAGTTAAAAACCAATCCACATCCCCACCAATCCACATCTCCCTTCACTGTGGACCGGGGCCCTCATTAATCCACATATTAATAATATGTTGATGCCTCTCGTCACTATTTATCACGACAAACATGGCTCAATTCGTGGAATCCCAGAGCTTATTGCAAACAAACTGGAAAAGATCTTCGTCCATATTCGACATTGCTTGGAGGTCGCGCATTGCTTGTTCCATCGTTGTTAGCTTCACGGGTTTGTTGTTTCTTTATTTCAACGACATATTCAAGTTAGACCACAAGTGCATGGCGGTGTCGAAACTGGACTCCGTGCCTCTCCTTCGACGAGGACCGATTATGCCCACCATGCCGTCGATGAGATGTCGGGGTCTCCATTGGATCGTCATCTTGCTGCGTAAAAACATCGAGGCTAAAATTTCCAGATGGCTCACCACGTCCCTCGGGCACACGTTGAGTCGATGCCCTTGCATTCGACCCCGTAGCAATCGTCCCATGAAAAATAATCGTCAACGCTTCGTAGTGCACACATACCTTGCCCTCCATGTCATGATAACTCGGACTTTCCTGTAGATGTCATAAAACAATGACAAATTTAAAAAAAGGAGAATAACACTACAAGATCACCAACATTAGTTGATAAAAATATTCCCCAACAAACAAGTAGTACATGACATATAAATTTGCAAAGTAACAAAATGGCAATCATTATAAGGCCAAAATATATATGTACAAAAGACCAATTCTATGTAAAAGCTGAAATGAAATAATATTTATATATAAAAAATAAAAGAAAATAAATAAGATCAGGTGTACAACCATAGTATATTTCAAAGAAAGCAAAGAACACTTGTGAGATAAATTAATTTGACATAGAAAACAATTGCATGTTATAATAACAAAAAAAGGTAATAAGAACAGGTGTACATGCCACACTATATTTGCAACACCATTGAAGCAACCAAATAACAAATGTCAGATAAATTAATTGAACATAGAAAACACTTGTATGTTATAACAATTGTCAGATAAATTAATTGAACATAAAAAACACTTATAACAAACCGTACAAAATACTTACGCTTGTCCATTTTTGCCAACCATCAGCGTCTCACGTAATCATTTTTTTATGTGGACACCAACTCAATCTGGTGGCATTGGTAACCATGTTGTGAAATTTTCTCCAATACACTTTCATTCGTTGGTACTTACTTTGTAGTTGTGTGACTTTGTAAGGATATAAAATAAGTCACCGCTCCTTCAACTTCGCAAGAATGGTCGCCCATTGATTCGGTGTGAACTTACCGGTTACACGGTTTCCCATCACAACTTCGTCCAACATAACATTGACAAAAGCAGCTTCATTTTCTGGAGGCCATTTGGCGTCTCCTTGAGTGCACTCAGTTGAAGGACCAATACCACCCGAAAATGACATCTACAATATGACAAATAACAAACCAAATACAGTGTTGTATGCTATGCTTCACATGTACAAATCATTTGTACTAATTGATATTTGGGCAATCATATTTATTCTGCAATCTAGACAACCAAAAATAAAGGTAACATAATAACAAATGCCACACTCGAAATTAGAGATTCACAAAGTTACACAACATATTCGTCTACAATGAAGACAACAACAACAAAAAAATAGTAAGGTCAGATATAATGCCCTTAACAATACTACAATGAACCTCAGATCCAAATTTACCCTAGGGTCCTACCCTATTTTTTTTTATTTATTTTTTTTACAATAAAACGAGCGCAGAAATACCATCAACATGGTTATTGGGTGTCGTCTCCATTTACCCAACCCCAAATTTTGTATCAAAGGATTGTAACATCAAACATAGTAAACTTCAACAATGTTTGTATAGCAAAATAAAAACAACCTCATAACTACAAAAACGTGCCGTGTTTCCTTTTTTTCCAAATATTTTCCATACAAACAAAATTAATTCAGGGGCGCGCCTTAAACAACAATTTTCCATAATACAAATCAATGGAGGAGAAAAGGAGTATGTTCTACCTTTGTTGGCCGGAGTCTTTTTTTTTTTCGGAGATGTGACGAAGACGCTACAGGTGCTTTCGGTAGTGTCTTGACTTGGGAAATCGGTTCTTGGTTCGGCGTCCACTTCACGTGATGTCGCCGAGTGATTTCGTGGAGGGGAGAGATCCATAGATGCGGAGGTGATTATAGCCGAATTTATTGAGGACAATCTCGAGTTGATCTGTTACAGCTAATTTCGATTTGAAATGTGGAAGAAAGAAGTCAAAAAGAAGAAGCATCGAAATCAATGTGTGCAGTGGTGTTGGTGTCTTGGGGAGCGGGAAAGGCAGATATGCGTCTTTTGTACAAGTTGTTGTTGGGTTTTGTGGGCCATGCACAAGTACCCTCCTTGTGATATCCAATTACGGATCCAACAGTAAAATCCAGCCCATAATGAGTAAAAACTCAGCCCAATTGATTAACGGTGAAAAAAGATTTTTTCACAATTCTTATTGTAAACTAAAAAATGAAAAATAATAGCACAATCAACTTCAAGCACGACTTTTCACCAACTATCGATAAAATAAAGGGAAATAGGTCAAAAACACCTCTAATGTTTGCTGCAAGGTACATATTGGTCCTTTAAGTTTCTTCAGATACAAATATACCACGAAAGTTCAACCAATAATGATGTTTACATTCTTCCTAATAGGGAATAGAGCTCTATTAACTTCTCATTAACTTATTATTAAAAATACATTTAATATGACGTAAACACTTGCTAATAATTCTTTGGACAATTTTATATATGTAAAAAAAAAAAGTAAATTATGAAAAAACACAAAAACGCAAAAAGACAAAATACTTTTGGAATTGTTTTGTCAAATGAGATTGTTTGTCAAAAGGAAAAATAATTGCCAGCACAAAACTTATATTATTTTAAGATTATACGGAGGCTAATAAAATGGGATTGTTTGATTTCAATATATTTTTGTTAACTAAAAATACTTAATGCATGCAAATTTAACTGCTAGAGGTGAAACTTGTGCTTTCAAAATATGTTAAAATGCAAGCAAATTTAATTTTCTATTGTGCTTCCAAAATAATTCATATACATATGTGAATACTACTTTTTAAATTATACATGGTAGAGATATTTCTCGCTTTATTTCAATTATAGGAGAAAAACAATATATTGCAGACCATATATAAAATAGAACTCTTAACAAAACCTAAAAGTTGATATATTCAAATCTCAATTGGCATGTTATGGGGACACAAAATATATATATAAAAAAATCACTTAGATTTTAGATTGTTAGAACAATAGAATACTCAATAAATAATTTAAAAGTACATTAAAATATAAACTGAAAACATTATTATTTATTTAGGAGAAATTTGCTTACAATGATGATGAAGTCCCAAGAGATGTTGTCATGCAAGTATTTTTTATGGCCATGAAACAATGAATTGAGTGGCGTAATTGGACAAAATGTATAAAGCCTATACAGGTAGCAATGATATACATTAATAGTAGCAAACTTTAATAATATATTTGCACCTAAAGAAACTTCATGGACATATATGTACCTTACAACAAACATTGAGGATATATACATTAATACTAGTAAACGTTAATGATATATTTGCACTTAAAAAAACTTCATGAACATATATATACCTTACAACAAACATTGAGGGTGTTTTTGACCCATTTCCCTAAAATAAAACCCCTCAAAATTCCCCCTCCCAATTCCATCCTAAGAGCATCTTTAGTGGGGAGGTTTTCATCAGGTTTATAAACCCCCTCCCCAACTTTTGCTATTAAATTGAGAAGGTTTAAGGTTTACCTATGCACCACAGGTTTAAAAATGAAAACCTCTCATAAACCTTATCTGCGGGCCCATTTTTTCATTTTTTATTTTTTTTTTATTTTTTTTATTTCAAGCATGCCTGACACATGCAATACATATATATATATATATATATATTTTTTTTCAATTATTTTATTGTAGGCATGATAGTTTTTTATATAGTTTTTTATTTTGTTTAATGTATTTTAATATTGTGACAAAAAAACTAGTTTAAAATATAATAGATAATAAATTTTCTCTCAACTAATTTTTTTTATAGTTGACAATCCAAAAAATAAAATAAAAATAATTAAATGAAATAAGAATGAGTTGCAATTGTTGTCGAAAAAAGAATAATTGAAAACGAGTTATTTTCGAAGAAGAACGAACACTAACAATCTTTGCTCGTACAAAAAAGTAAAACGAGGCTGTTTGGTTTAAAATTAATTGGATGTAATTGGATTTAATTGACAACCCGAAAAAAAAAGCGACTAATTGAAATAAGAACGAGTTTCAATTGTTGTCGAAAAAAAATTGAAAACGAGATATTTTCGATGAAGAACGAACACTAGTGATCTTTGCTCGTACAAAAAAAGAGTAAAACTATATTGTTTTTGTTTAAGAAAATAAATTGAATCTCATATTTTATTTTGATTATTTGTTATTAGGTTTTTAAAAGTAAAATTTGAATGAAAATATTGTGTTGTCACACATCAAAAACAAAATCTGATGTTAATTTGCAATGTGTGTCTAAAGATAATTTGAATTTTACTAAACTTTTAAATATATATATATATATATATATATATATTAATTTAAAAAATTGATGTAGTAAAAAAGTTGTGTTGTCACACATCCAAAATAAAAGCTGACTTAATTGATACAAATCTTATCCTTCAGCTGTATAGTTGCATTTGTTCATTACTTTCAAGAAGTATGGTCCCGTATACAATCTTTGCAATTTTCTTTGAATTGTGTGCCCACCTGCCATTCATTTAACTGATGGGCATATTTAATTGATATTGTATTTTTTTCAAATATCACTTTACAATACAAACTACCCTCTATAAATTAAGGTGATTGTTGTGATGTTATGCATTACATCCTCATCAGAAAAAAAAATCATAGACCTCTGCCTTATATTTCTCTAAAGGTGTAATCGATAACAATCCATATAGATCCAACCCAAATATGCCAAACTCATCGGAGGATGACAGCCCGTCTTCCGTAAATTCACGTTATACACGAAATATGCAGTTTTCTCAATTTCCTAGAATGCAACTACAACCTCAATTTCAAAATTTTCCTTTTCAAATACCAGCACCAATGCCTTCTTATCCAATTCCACAGACTTCAGAGCAACCTTCTTTTACCCAATCACAAAATTTAATGAACATGAATCAATCTCAGTATATGTGGACAATGCCGCCCCAATATGGCATTCCGAATGCATTTGGGATGCCTTATCAACAAGAAAATTTCATGCCGACTGGATTTTCCAGTAGTTCCACTGAAGTCCCAAGACCTTGCACGGCCCCGGAGGTTGAAGGACTTGACAACATTTGCCTTGATACGGACTCAGAAAAAAGAAAAGAAGTTGAGCCTAAAAGATGCGGTAAAGCGACAGCAATGCCGTGGACACATGAGGAGGATGTTTTACTATGTCGAGCTTTCTGTACCATCTCAAGTGATCCGGTCATTGGCGCTCAACAAACGTCCGACGGTTTTTGGAGGCGAATTACACAGTATTATAATGAGGCCGGTCATGCACGAAACCTCATTCAAAGAACTATGGAGTCAGCAAAATCGCATTTTTATGTTTTCCATAGAGATTGTATCAAATTTAATGCATCGATAAACAGGTTTCGGGCTGATCAAAGAAGTGGTGAAAATGATGCAATTGTTTTGCAGAATGCATTAATGGAGTGGAATAGCGAAGGAAA